GGCTGTCTCTCTCTCCATCCGTCTTACGAATTTTCGATCAGGGTCACGTGTCCTGACGCGAGTTTAACATTTTTTATCCATTACAAAAAAGTGTACAACGCCGCTAAAGAAGTTTTCACTTCAAAAAAATATTTCGAAGACATGTGAAGTTCGCTAAACACGGATTGGGGCAGCGCGGCGTACACTTGCTTGCCCTAAATCCCTCTTAGAAATGAGAGGTGTGTGCCCAGCAGTGGGACGTATATAGGTTGTAACTTTAACTTTTTAAATTTTATGGTCACACAGTGTCATTATCATTAAAAAGTATAGTAAAGTAAGTAATAAGTTTTTCGGTTTACAATGTATGTATAAACCACAAAACAATGCCTCAGTTCTGTATTTTTTTTATTATTTTTTTCACATTTCAAACTTTTTTTTAATTCTTCTACTCTTATAATATACGTATTTTACTACTACTTTTATATAGAATATACGAAGTTTGGTTAATTCATTTCTAATGTAATTAATACTCGTATATCTAGTATTTGTGAAAGAAACATTAATCAATACACTTTTGTAACAAGTTAACTTCCCTCGCTACGAAATCTTATCTTATTACGAATATCATAATTTCATAATCATGTCCAAATATTTCACCTCCTTCCTAATCCTAAGCGCCGCCCAAGTCGCGTCTCATTAGAAAAAGTCGCGGATCATTGCAATTTCAACTCGCAAATAAAATAAAAATACACTAATTAGAAAAATATCAACAAACACGCAACATCACATTGTAAATGTTGCATGACAAACGCGAGATATCGGTCAATATAATCTTTATCGCTTCGCAATAAAGTCCATTGTGTATATTAAACAATGTTATCTTTACAGACGCGGTGTGTTACTATCACGTTTCATATCAGAGTCGTGATGGGAGATACGATTAGTTGACATCGACGTGTGTATTGAATCTTGGCGTATCAACACCACCATAGTATTGTTTGGCTAATGTTTGGCCTGGTATGAAAAATGTTTGGTCTCGGTTGAGCCCAGTTGACCCTATAATGAGCTTGAATGAACAGGTTGGTGACCTTTTAAAGGCCTGTATTCACTTTGATTAGTATGAGTGCAGGTGATCAGTAATTGCGGGTGATTAGTGCAGAACGAGTAGTGTAAGTACTGTCCAATTCTGTTTAGTTAATTCAGATCTTCTGAAGATTTACTATATTCGTAAGATGCTGAAAGGAAAAAATGGGGTTGTGAATTCCATTTGAACCACCAGGCGTTGAAATTGGCAATATGTTTAAGCGAAATTAAATACTGGTAGCATGAGACAGTTATTGTAGTAATTTTTTTTATTTATTTATAAATAACGTTACCCCTACACTAAGATTTTCTCTTGTATCGTAGGGGCAGTTTACAAACATAAATTGCACAAGGACAAACATCCAGACCCGGAACAACTATTTGTAGGCCTCACAAATACTCGTTCCGTGCGGGATTCGAACCCGCGACCAATGTGATCTACCCCTGACAAATGTGACTTTCGCCTAATCATCATCATCATCATGACAGCACATCAAACGTTCATCCCCTCCCTCATAGATTGCCTAACAGAATCAATTTTGTCTAGTTGCCACGTCTGGCACGTTTGGCAGGCTGGTTGGCAATGAATGTCACAAAGCACGGGCAAAGGCAACGGGCCGGCCTTTTAGCCCCGTAAAGGGAAGTAAAGTGTAATTGAAGGCTGACCACTAGATGAATTGACGATCTAATGAGAGATGCAGGACGTCGTTGGATGCAGTTGGCTCATGAGTCAGGACCGGGTTTTCGGCTAATAGTATACATTTATTAGGAAAGATCTATATTTGTCACCACCATATCGGTCTAGAAAGAAAATATAATAGCCTTAACGTCTACACTCTATGACCGTATTCTAGACGGCCCCCGCCATTACAACAGATTCGAATACGATCGAACAAAAATACGCGCGAAAGAACCGATTCCTACCAAATATGATTTTTTGCGGCTATTGAAATCATAAGCAACCCAAATTTAATAGAGAAGTCGGCTGAGTAAATGAGACTACTTAAGAGCCTATGCTACCTCAAATGGCTTACCAAGATCCTCCGTTATGCCAAAAATATTGTAGCATTAATTTTGAAATAAATATATGGTAAAGTTGAGGATTAATGTTAAGTACTATGTTACACGAAAACACGATTTCGTAAAATTTTCTCAATAAAAAAAATCCAAAGTTACCTTCAAACTGAACAATAAACCGCTGGTATTCAAAAATACTTTAAATTAGATCGTGAAACTTTGCATACTACCTGAACTAACTATAGAGCAGGGCTTATGTTTTTTATTTTTTTTAATTACCATTATTTTCACTATAAAAAGAAATTACCTAAACTATCGGCGTCCTGAACCTTATTCCCTGCCGCCCGATCATTCTCGCTTCGTCTTTTGAACGGGAAAGCCGTGTCACTTACGATCAGAATTGCGCAACAGGACGACGTAAAATTAAAATGGAAAATACCCGTAGTGAAAATAAGAAGCTACTGGGTTGGCGTAAAGAAACAGGCATAAATATGGTAAACCAAATGAAATAAGTATCTAACGACCTATCTACTTACAGTATTAGTGATTAATACATGTCGGTACATAGCATGCGACGCGCGGGGACTTTGGGGCGAAATTAGAATTTGAACTGAGGTAGTATAGGCCCTTAATACGTGTACGTCTAAGAATACGTAAGGGTGTATAAGCCACAGAAATTTTTAAAACTAAATTTTAATATTTTTTTTTAATAGAATAATTTTTTTTCTGGTATTCTTTGAGATGTTTAAGACAATCAGTCGCACATTTCGTTTTTATTCGATTGAGAACTTATCGAATCATTGAATATAACAACGAGAGTCGAGAGTCGAGAGATTGACCTTCACCACTCTCCTATGCCAGCAGAGTTAGCCAAGATGACTTTCTACAATTGTTAACGCTACAATAAATTACTATAAAAACGAATGGGAATGACAAGTCTAAACGATGAGTCTCATGAGCTCGTGACAGTGACGTGACTTAGCTATGATTTTATTCATTTCCATAGTTTTCTATTATAGCATTAAAATTACGCTAACGACCGTACAACACCATGTTGGCTGACCCCGTAGTTGAGAAATTGAACAAAATTGATAATTTGTCAAGGTCAAGAAAAAACTTTTCACACATAAATGGTCAATTAAAAAAATATGCGGCCATGATACGCCAAATATTTTTAAACAAATTTAAATAAAAATTGCTTTTGAATAATTTTATAGCCCTATAAAGCTAGAAGTGAAAAGTCAGCAGAAACCATAAAATTTAACACACGAACTTGCAGTAAGACTGCCCATTATCGAATATCAACCTATTAATATTTTATTTATTGTTTTGGTGTGCAAAACAGAATTAACTATCTATGTTAGCCATGACGTAATATTACTCAAACAACTTTGCAAGGCGCAATATTTTTTTCTAATAATATGAACACAGAAACAGTACAACTTTTATTAAAAAGTTAAGCAAAGTTAAAAGTACAATTTGGATCTATTTTCTTTAATTTTTAACTTTAAATGTAGGTTCTATATTCAACGCACATTTTTTAAGTACTTTTTTATAGGATAGTGACAAACAAGCACACAGTCCTGCTGATGGTAAGTGGTTCCTATGGCCCATCTACATCTATCCTTGATAACGGAACAAAATGCAGATGCATTGTCACCAGTGAGGACTAAGATGGAATGCCTTGTTTCCAGTAAAAAGAGTCTCCGGTTCTCTACACTCACCATACAAAACACAGCGGCATCAACCTACTATTTTATACTGGTATTCTGTGACAGTGTGGACCTACTCCGGTCGAGCCAACCCATATGTGCTACAACTATACTACTAATAAAACTGCAGCAAGGCTCCTCCACCACATATGTTTACTGATTTCTCGGAAATGGTTGAAACAATTAAAATGATTCTTTTCTTATCTAAGAGTCTACACCTCAAGGGTGATTTTCAATCCATATTTGTAAACAAAATCTATCCCTAAGAGAGATGAAGTTTTTTTTGTAACTATTTTAATAACATTTTCGTAGCTACATCATGAGTCCACAAACTGTTAGAAATTAAACTTTTATTAAAAGTAAAAATAGTGTTTAAACAGTACATTCTGTTTGGCTCCGTAACTTAGAACCTCCCCCTTGAAATTAGAACAAAAGAATTGTTATAGAGTCAAGAAGGTTTGCCAACACTATTTAAATAAACTGGCAGATCATCTCTTTTCTAGCAATTTTTTTATTTATATGAATATATAAATAAAATACATATGTATATTGTATTATATATACAATGAAGTTGTGGTTTAAATTCTTCTACATACTCACATGTCTTAGCACCATTTATATATACATAAGAGAAATACTAATACATCTGATTGACTTGAATTCAGTATAGTTACTTATGTCGCAATGTAGATGCTCACTAAGAACTGAATTTATGATAGTCATATCAAAAAAAAATTACTTGAAATTATACATCTAGGTTCTGCAATAAAATATTATCGTACACACAGCGAAGCGAGCGGGTCTCAACTAGTTACTACATATATCATCATTAAAAGTTTAGATAGATAGATACGTAGAAAACATACTTGCATGAAAACATGGTACATTAGATTTTCTTATGGAATAAGTGTCACAAACAAGAACACAGTCTACCTGATGGTATGTGGATGCCATGGCCTATAGATATCTACATATATCCTCGATGAAAAATCAAAATGCAGATGCATTGTCACCCATGAGGACTATGATGGAATGCCTCGTTTCCAGTAAAATGGGTCTCCAGTTCTCAACACTTATAGTACGAAACACACATGATATTCTGTGGTAGTGTAGTCCTTCCCTGGTCAAGTCCCTTGCCTTCCTTAAGTGGCTAGCTGCAGCATAGCTCTACTACATAGAAATGTTTAATAATTTAATAAAAGTACTTACGTTTCCCTGGTAAATGACGAGGGCTGAGTGGTGGTCTGTCAGAATAAGAGCTGGTCAGGTCTGATTCCTTTCCCAAGGTATTGTTATTGTATTTCTTGACACTTTCAGCCCAGTCCTGAATCCAGGTCTTGTCACCTTTGCACCGATTAAGACTCAAATACGACAACTTTCCTACAACTTGATCCGGAGTTATGTCAGATGAAACTCCACTGTCATCTCTTAAAGCTTTCTGTGCATTTTTGAGAGCCGTGCTTTCAAATGTAGCATCCTCAAAAGTCAAGCCCTTGCTACTGGGCAATGAAACTGGGACAGAAGACTCTCTAGATAACCTATGAACATAGTCAGTCTGGTCTATTTCAGATTTAGTGAGACTACAACGTCTCCGGATGGGCATTTCAATTTTCACAGGGTATTTCATACTGAGCACTCCGGAGGTTGTGACTGATGTGAAACTGCCTACATCAACTTCTTCATCATGCTTTGGCGGGGATTTTGGAAATGTTTTCTCAGTGATAGTGCGAACCCTATTTTTAATTTTCTCTAAATAACTCCTTGTAGACTTTATCTGTTTAGATGTCTGTGCTGCCAAGTCATTCTCCGTGGGAGATTCATAACAGCAGGAAATTTCCAGAACATTTTTATCTTTTGACACTTTATTTGAAATTTCTAACGCAGAGTGAATGGCTAGAGGACTTCTAAGCCCAGTATCTCGTCTAGGTTCCTTTGTGATTACCCTTTGTGGATTTGGGAAGTCAAAAACAAGCTCAGGATCTCTTTCAACATTAGATCGTTTGTTTAATGATTTATCTATTGCTTCCTTAAGTAAATCAGCACCGAAAGACCTATCTATACTCATTCGAGCTTTTTGCTCTTCAGTATAATTATCTCCTTCAATTGTGTAAGTGCCAGTTGAAGAATTATTGGACTGTCTATCTACATCATCATCAATGAACAAAGTTTGAGGTTTCGGTGGACACTTTTTAAATAATAAGTCTGGTGTTTCAGACATGGCCCTAACTTTACGGACTAAAGGACTTTTTGATGGTTCAGGTGTTGACAAACCATTATCAGGGGTTAGAATATCCAATTCCGGACTAGATATATCAGTAAGCATTAAACCTTCAGGACTCATATCAACAATATCTGCCATATGTTTCTGACAACTTAGAATGCCATAGCTAGGTGTTTTATGGATGCCACTTGGATTATAGGTGGTAGTGGGATTCAAAGGCAGATTTAAAGATTGACGGGTAGTGAAGTTTTCACTTCGGGACATTATACTATCCACAATTGGGCTCTTTGATTGTTTCTTTTGAAGCATTTGGTCTACTATTGGTGATTTTACCTGCCTGCTAATAATTGGGCTAGTTACGTGCGTCTTTTCGACATTTTGCGCAAGGGGATTGCTTCTAACTTTAACTGAGTTGGACACTCCACTATCTTCCTGATCGGAGGAGAAATAACCTTCCGAATTGTATCCTTGAGCTTTTCTGGGGAGCTTTACGCTCATAGGAGGCCGCTGAGCCGTCGGACTTCGCCTAGTTGAACCAGTTGACATCGATTGCACCCTCTGGTGTCGCGCTTGCGATTTCTTCGCTAGCTCCTCGAGTCTACGATTATCAAACGTTTTGCTCTCGCCAAAGTCGACGGTAAAGGCCATTGGATGAGGCTTAGGACTAGATGGTTCCAATTTTTCCTGACCTGCCTCAACTTGATCATTCTTAGTGTCTTGTTTTTCTGAAGAAGTTCCCTCGTTGCAAACCGTCCCCTGCCCTCCCGATAAAAGGTTGGAAACGTCGTCGACGCTAACACTCATATTTTCAAGGATTAAATGACATCATAATTCATGAAACCCACTGCACTTTCGCAATTTTTTGTTTCACTTCAAGGAAAAGCACAGAAATTAAAGCACAGATTTTACCCGGAAAATAAAAGGAATCAATTTGAAGTGGAACGAGAGCACAAATAAAAAAAATATTAAAAACTACGCCTACAACATTCGTTCGCAATTAGATTTCGTTCGCGATTCGCGAGTACCGAGCCGAGAACGCGAAACACGCAAACGCAAAGAGTACGCAAACTACACAGTAATCTGTGACGCAAACGTAATCGACTGAACCAGCGATTACTAATAAAATCCGACGTTTGGTTCGGTTCCTACAAAGGTACTCTGTGGTAGGCATGTCGATCTGAGATCGAAGAATCGATTTCTTGTGCCAAAAAGATCGATTTTTAATCAATATATAGTACTGAATCGATCCAGTGAATCGATATTTCACCCTAGAAAATCGAGATCGAATCATTTTCCGTTTTCATAAGAACCAAAAAATGATTAACTATAAGTTGAATGTACCTTAACTCGTAAAAGATGACAGTTTTTTATTCAATACTAGCAAAACTGCTGTGTGCTCAGTTTCTTTCGCCTCTCTCTTTCTTTCTTTTTTTCTTTTGAATCTTATGGATTGAAGAAATAAAAAATAAGCTACGTTTGTAATCTGTACTTTGTACGAATCTGAAAGCAAATCGAAAAAAGATCAATTTTTGAGAAATCGATCTTTTAGACCTCGAACTTTTTGTGAATCGATTCATCAGATGTCGATTTGAATCGATTTAAAAATCGATCTTTTTCGGATAGAATCGACATCCCTACTCTGTGGTTATGTTTCACCCTAACGAAACAGTTATTGTGATTCTGATTTCCTTTGTACTTTATTTTACATTTTGGCTGGCAACATTGCTAGTATGGTTAATTGGATTGGCCTTAGAAACTCAGAAACGACCAATAAAGGAGGATATTAAGAAAACAAGCGCAAAGATTTTTCTATGATTGGTTGTTATATTTACACTGTAACGTCATACTTTTTGATTTGAAAAGTTTGACGAAATAAATATAAAAATAGTGAATGCTATAATTTTCTTAGCTAATAAAATTCATTTATCATATTATTGTTATTTTTTCATAAATACTTATCGGTTTTTACTTTTGGTATTTATTAAAGAATCGTAAAATGGAGTTTTGGCGGGAACTTGGCCGTGGACGGATTGTCGCTCCTGTTTTGTCGCTTGAATAATGGTTTGAAGTGGATTTTGATTCGTAAAAGTGATGCGATTTTGTGAATTAAGTGTCCGCGCGTCTTCACTTTTAGAGAAAATGACGAAACAAGTGCTTTGATGTCGATATAAACCTCAAGTTATTTTGATCGCTTGGGCGCCTTATGAACTTGAGTGGCTATCGTCATCAACTGTCCGCTAGGTTGAGCTGTCGTCAAAATCTCCCAAGGATTTCGCAATGTGACGCATCAGCATATTGTGACGAAAAAGAACATAAAATGAAGATTCCAAAAGAAAGGATAGGCTCAGAAGGTCTAGAAACCAGAGCCGTAATGCCAGTTAATAAAAAAAATCGTAAAATCATTTCACTACACGCAATATTCCAAATTTGTTTTTGTAGTATGAAAATAGTATTTTTTAGTGATTGTAATCGTAAATTATATGAATTTTTCAGCAATAACTATGGTACAATCCATAAATGCAGAATTTACTTTACAAAACTTTTTGTGCATTTATAAAATAGTGTATCATATAATATTTAAATAGCTATCATTAATAAATGATAAATAACTAGAACGAAACTCAATTGTCAGATGTCACTGTCACGTTTTAACCACTGTAGGTAGGAATTCAGTCAGGAAGATGGCAGATGCGGCGTTTTCTGACGATGGGAAATATTATTCTACCATAAGTCAGGATGGCAGGCTTAAAATATGGGATACAGAAACAAATGTCCTCAAACAGGAATATACCCCAGACCTGCATTTAACCTCCCCACCGTCATGTTTGCAATGGTTAAATGTCACACGATCAGTAAGTAGACGCACGTGGTTTTTTAACAGTATTGAAAAATCATTGTTTTTGAGCTTATTTGTAAGAATCCTACTCTGTAATAAAATCATAGCTTTCAATAAAGTATGAGATTGTCACAAAATATGGTAAAAGCATCAAATTCTAAGAGATCATTTTTCTGCAGGTCTCTCCACAAAAAGGTGTCAGAAGAAAATCAATTGGTGATCAAGAGACTCAATTAATAGCAGTAGGGACTACCAGTGGAAAGATCCTATTATATTCTGTTGCCCAAGCGAAGGTTGAAACAGTGTTAATTGATCAGAAGAGTAATGAAATACACAACAATAAAATAAAGACTTTAGACTGGCATAGAAAGTATGGCTTATACAGTTGTACAGGTGATAATGTGGTGCACGAATGGGATCTGCAGGCCGCATCAGTTAAAAATAAATACAATATAAATGTTGATAGCAAAAGTAAACAAACAAACGGTGTCAGTGCCATCAAGATTATCCCGCATAATGGGGTGAGTACAGAAAAGCTGATTACTTATTTCATTTCTGGAAACCCATACTCCAGCTTCACACATTGGCCCTAACCTTGGTTGCTTTTGTGTTTGTAGTAGAGCCAATGTAGAGATGTTAGATTTTGAAATTGATGTAAGTGCTTTTCCAATACTGAGTGCATAATATCGTAATTTTTTTTTATTGGAAAGCCAACCATATATTAGTTATTTAAAAGTAGCCTTTTCCCAAAATAAAATTATACAATAAAACATTGTAAAAACTACTTACAAAACTTATTTATGAAATGGCTTGGCAGCAACTGCTTCATTCCCAGGGGTTATTATCAATCATGAATTCATTTATATTATAATAACCCTTTTTGAATAGTTTTTATTAAAATCTAGTAGTAAACATAGTAGTAGTCTAGCCTGTAAGCCAAGCCATGCGCACTTTCGATCGTACAATACCTACCGTACGTCCGCCAAGCAGTGATCTAATTTGATCAGAATTATGTAAACATGTGTACCTATGAAAAAACTATTTTTTCGTTTTAAACAAAACCAAAGACACTATGCAATAGATAATAGTATCAAAGACAAAGATATGCTCTTTTATTTTAAACCATAACCTGCCAATGTTTCTTAGAAAAAAAAAAGAAATCACTCTGAACTTTCGGCGTTCCACGTGCCGTTTTGATGAAGGTGCTCCGTCTTTTTTATAGAATTTTATATTTGTGTCTGGACTAAAAACGAAAGTATTATACTTTTTTATATTCCTTGTAATATAGTGAACACATATATATATAATTTGTGGTATAAAAAGTGAAAAGTAAATTGCCAAAAGTGCTTCAAAATCTGGAAGGCCCATTATGGCGGCTGGGTCATAAATGTGGTATTTTTCACATTCTCATTTATTTTTAGTGTAAAATGTAAGTAAAAATAGTTTTCTTACATATTTCAAATAACTTGACGTTGTATTTATTTCAAATTCACACAAAACTATTTTAGAAATATTGTTCTAAATGTCACACAGATAAAATATTATAATTTAATTTTTTTAATTTCTTTATATTTTAATATTTTGGTATGAGTAACGAATGGAAACACATAAAACATAAAAATATACATATTTCCAAACATTTTCATATAAATTTCTCTAAAAACAAAAGTGTAGAATTCAAATTAGTAGTAATTTTGTCACTAAAATTGAAGTATATACCACTATACAGCTATACAGGGTAATTTACGTATTTTATTACAATTTCTAGCAACCAAAAATAATTTTATTCGATAGTTTATACATTCAACAAGAATTCCTGTAAGTTTTATCCATAAATATTGTCTCAAAGTGAAAATATAGCAAAATTTGCAATATAGCAAAAAATTTGCTGATTTTCAAATTTTGCCGCCATTACGGTCCCGAGCGAACGGGATTATAACATGTCGCGCGCTGTCAGAGCTTACAGGCTAGTAACTGTTTTTACTAGCTTGTATTTGTTCTGGATGCTGACATGGTGTATTCTATTGTATTATATATATATATATATATATATATATATATATATATATATATATATATATATATATATATATATATAATCATTCTTTCACGGTAAATGTTGATCCAGTGAGAAGTTAGAACAATTGTTGATCCACCTATTTGACGTGTTTGCTCAGCTCCTCGTCGCACAAACTGATATACTTTGATCCATTCTTGATGCGCGTGTGACGTCGGTGGATCTGCACTAACAGGATTTCAATATACTCGTCAGCGATTTGACCAACATTTGTTGATCTATCAACTTATGTATAAATATGTGTGTGTGTGTGTGTGTGTGCGTGCGGTTGTGCGTGTGTTTGCTTTTGTGTGTGGGTACGAGTGTGTACGTGTGTGCGTGCGTGTGTCCACTGTTGTTTTGTGTTTGTGTATGTGCTTGTGCGTGTATGTGTGTTCGTACGTGCGCGCGCGTGTGTGTGAGTGTATGTGCGGGTGTGTGTGTGTGTGTGTGTGTGTGTGTGTACGAGCGCGCACGCGTATGTGTATGTGTGCGCGCGCGTGCGTGTATGTATGTGTGCGCGCGCGTGTGTTTGTATGTGTATGTGTTTTTGTGTCTGTGTTTGTGTGTGTGCGTGTGTGCTGTGTGTGTGTGTGTGTGTGTGCGTGTGTGTGTGTGTGTGTGTAGGTGTGCGTGTGTGTGTGTATTTTTGTGAGTGCGCGAGAGCGCGCGTGTGTGTATGTGCGTGCGTGTGCGTGCGTGCGTGCGGTGTGTGTGCGTGCATGTGTGTTCGTCTGAGTGCGTGTTTGTGTGTGTATGTGCGTGCGTGTGCTTGCGTGCGGGTGTGTGTGCTTGCGTGCGTGTTTGTCTGAGTGCGTGTCTGTGTGTGTATGTGTGTGTGTGTGCGTGTGTGTGTGTGTGTGCCCAGAAAACGGAGGCGGAGAATGGAGACGTGGAGGCGTGAATGCAGCGTAGTATGTGGTGAAGGCGGAGGAGAGGAATTTGTGGTGAAGTCGGAGATAGTGGAAACGGGGAATTGTGTTGGAGGCGGAAATAATAGTGACGGCGCGTGGTGGTGGCGGCGGAGGGAGCGGAGTTTATTGTTGAGGCGGATGGAGCAGAGTTTATGGTGGAGGCGGGGGTAGCGGAGGTGGAGAACGAAAGCTTAGAGAGGGGTGCGGTGATAGATGTGGAGGCGTAGGTGGCAGAGGTGTTGGTGGGTGCACTGGAGTGCAGTAAAGTGGTTACCGCGTGAGGGCAAGTGAGGCTCATATAAAGGACAGTTGGTTACAGCGCAAAACAGTGTGGCTGGTAAGTGTATATCGATACTGCCCCTAACGATGTTACTACGAGGTTATTCATTTTTCCGAATATCAGCTTGGATGCCTATTGGTATTAGAGACAAAGAGAAAAGAACTTTTGTTTTGTGACGGTTTCATCATAACTAACAAATCAAACCCAAACTCGGCATACCTAGTTCTACTAGTCCAGGTGTTACAGTGTTAGTTACCGAAGTACACCTTCAGGTCACTTCAGCAAGTCCGGAGGTAAGGACTCATCATAACTAACAAAACGAGCCCAAACTCAGCACACCCAGTTCTGAGTTTGGGCTCAGTCCAAGAGTTCCACTAGTAATCCCGAATTACATTTTGAGGTCACTCCATCAGGACCGGAGGTAAGGTCTCATATACCTACCAATTTTGTAAACTCGTCCTTAAAAATCTTGATTATAAAGATGTAGAAAACATGTTAACTGGTTTATAGTACACACACACACACACACACACACACACACGCACGCACGCACGCACGCACGCACGCACGCACGCACGCACGCACACACAAACACGCAAGCGCGCGCGCAAACATGCACACATGCGCACACTCACAAACGCACACTGCCGCACACACACGCACACTGCCGCACACACACGCACACACACAAACACAACAGAGCACACATGCACACACGCACACCCATTGACACACACACACACACGTATACATACGCACACGTACACATATGCACACAAACACACACACACACACATACACACACACACACACATACACACACACGCGCACACATATGCACACAAACACACACACACACACACGCACGCACGCACACACACACACACACACACACACACACACACACACACACGCGCAAACACGCCCTCAGACGAATACCTTATGTCGCCGTTGCCACCACTTCCGCTACAAGAAGGGGCGTTGTCGACTAATTCGTTAAAAAAAGTCGTTTATTTCGACCACAAGGATCATAGTAAAGTAAAGTAAAGTAAAGTTACAGCCTATATACGTTCCACTGCTGGGCACAGGCCTCCTCTCATTTCTGAGAGGGTTTTAGGGTAAGGAATAGTCCGCCGCGCTGCCCCAATGCGTGTTAGCGAACTTCACATGCCTTCGAAATAATTTTTTTCTTATTTCTTAGACATGCAGGTTTCCTCACTATGTTTTCCTCCACCGACGAGCACGTGGTAAATCAGCACTTAAATTGCAATTAACAATTTCATTGGTGCCGGCGGGGATCGAACCCGGTTTGCTCGGGTATTGTGAAATTTACAGCGAGCGCTAACCATCTGAGCTACCACGGCTACAAGGATCATAGATGTTAGTAATAATACAAACTTAAAACTATTTATCTAATTTTAAAACTATATACATATAAGACAGGCCCGATTAGTCAGCACGTGCACCATATGACAATGGTTCAGGTACTGACTTGTCAGAAAAATGCCCTCAGGATACCATTGGAACTGGCCCGCACTCTACGCACCAGGGATGTGCATCGTTTACGCATGGTGGTGTAGAAACAATCCACTCGCGCATCCGCGAACATACCCGGCGCATTACAATAACGAGGTAGACCAAACAGCACCCTGAATGCATTACATAACACGCATTTAATCTGTAGCTTGTACCGCCAAAGATACGAAACGGCAACGTCGCGGCTGCATACAGCCAATCTGATCGTTTATCTTATCGTTTGCTGTGCTCTGATTGGCTCATTTAAATCGGATCAACATTTTCCGTAACCATCGCAAGGTGGATTTGTATATCGGATCAACTTCGGCCGACGCTAGCAAACAGTCTCTTGAGTGCAGATGTTGATCCGGTCGGAGCCACATTAGTTACCAGAGATGCATATTGGATCAACAAAAGGCGCCGGATCAACATGCGTTTTCGGATCAACAAAGTGCTCGCGTGAAGTCGCGTCTGATCAACATTTACCGTAAAGAGATCTATATATATATATATATATATATATATATATATATATATATATATATATATATATATATATATATATATATATACATATATATATATATATTGTATTCTATTCTTTTTTAAATGATTTTGGTTGCATATGTGTATGGTCATACAATAAGTTGAACATGGTTTTGGCTTGGTTTTTATGTCTCATAAAACGTATGTCATCTTGAGCCAGATGGTCATCAGATGTTTCAAGGATTACTATGTCCTTCCCCTCTCTTTTGACAACAAATAATCCTTAAATAACCCAGTCCTATTTGTCTATCTCATCTTCCAGCAGCACCAGGATTTTCTGGCCAATCCTCAGGGTTTGGTGTTAAATGTTGCCAGGTCTAGCCATCTATGATGGCAACTGAACTTTTATTGGAGATTCTCAGCGCTGGAGATTTAAGCATAACCAGGGATTGTAGGGACTGAGGGCTGTGTCCATAGTTGAAAATGTATTGCATATGTTTTTTTTTATTAAACTGAAATTATAAACTTACAGTCCAACTGATAGCATGTGGTAACTGCAGTCCAAAGACACTTAAAGCTAACTTTAAACAAAGAAGTGCATTGTTACCTCTGAAGACTAAAACAGTTTACCTTGCCATACCATGTATGACCTCTCTGTAGAATAGTTTACCACTGGCGATTTTTCTGGACCAATACGATCTGGGGACTTTCAAGAAAAGAGCTTACTCCTTTCTAAAGGGCCGGCAACACACCTGCAATTCCCCTGGTGTTGCGGATGATCATGGGCGGCGGTAGTCACTTAACATCAGGTGAACCGTATGCTCATTTGCCCCCTCTTCTATATAAAAAAAGTAAAATATGAGTGATTTTACTGTCTCTCTACCCTTCAGACTGCAACACATTAGTGCATGCACTGCTGCTTGGCGGAAGAATTATGTATCTACCCAGACTGACTTCTAGAAAAGGAGTCCTAAGTACCACCTAGTATGTAACAAATTCTGCCAATGTGAAGTCATTTTTTTAATTAAGCATGGCATGGCTTTACGGCTCTGGGTTCTAGCCCTTCTGAGCATACCGCCACTAATTTAAATGTGAAGTGAGTCGTAGCAATGACTCAGATTATTACATAATTGTGGTTCTAAAATTTTATATCAGAATAGGATTGCCAACCATACTTCATAATAACATACCCTACTTAATTTTTGATTAATATACTTTTACATAAAAATAAAGTATTCACTTTATTTCAAATCTAATTACAAAAGTCAACTTAGAAGACAGATTAAATATTAAGATGGATGGTTTATATTCCAAGTCAATAATACTTAAAGAGGTCCAAAGAAATTCTACCAATAATGACAAAGAATATTCTGAGAAAAATACCTCTCAAAAATGGCAATACAGTGTTAACTTTGATATAATGAGCCTTAATATTACAAATTCCTCAATTTAACTAATTTGTTGAAATGCCCTAGAACTGCCCATAAGAGCTAATGCATATACCTCTACACTATGAATACATTTTTCAAAAATATCTTTATAACAAATTTTTAATCAGCTGAATCTTAGATAGAAGATAATATTTACCTCTATTAAACGAATTTTTTCAACTTGACATAACATATCCTATTAATTATTCCCACTTAATTCTACAATAAAATCATATCTTTATAGGTTTAGGCATGTTAAACCTTGTAAGACCTTGTTAAAACGAATCATAGTCCCACCTAAACTATATAACAAAACTAATTATAACGAATTACTTGTTATAATAAATATTTTCAAATTCCCTTCAGTTACATTATATTGAGGTTTCACTAACAATGTGATAACTTACCAAATACAGTGCAACCTTGATATAACAAATCGGAAGGAAACAAGTAAATATTCTTTATATCAGGTAATTCGTTGAACTGAGGTTTGTTACGTTGAGGTTAGGTTTTTCTAAAATTTGTTATAAAGAGGTAAAAAAAATAGTTTTATTCACAATTTCTCTAAATAAACTTTATATAAAGGTTTTGGGTTGACGAAATTCATTAGTTAGAGGTATTTACACTTGATAGTTGTAAGTTCATTATAAAGAGATTGTTCTCAAGAAACATTCGCAAGGTAAAGGTATATTTTATATTGAATTTTATGGCAATTCAAGGGGATCACGAAAAATTTGTTAAATCGAGGAAGTCGTTATATTGAGGTACGTTATATTAAGGTTGCACTGTATAAAAAAAATATTTTTTACTTGCTGTTCCCGAAACCTCAGCTTTCGCTGAGAGTTTCTTCGGTGATGAAAGTGAAGTGGCAAGAAGAGAGAAATAGTTGGTCCATAAATTTAATAAAAAATGAATTATCATATTATTAATCTTAAATTATATTATTAGACTGGTAACAGTCTAACTATAGTACTATAGTAATATAGTTGGCAATCCATATTGGTCTATATACACCATAGTATTCAATGGTGTTATATATATATATATATATATATATATATATATATATATATGTAACCATTGAATACTAACACAGAATTACACTATTTATAGTTTAATTTTATAAATATTCAAAAAATCTACTAATGTCCTAAATAAAGATTGTAGGCAGGCAGGGTTGCATTGGACAATTATTAAGATAATTATCATAATAATTATGTAATGATAATTATGAAGAAATCAATAATATGGCCTACAGTAATTGTTTGGGGTCTGGATGTTTGTTCTTTGCGCAATTTATATGTAAACTGCTTCCACGATACAAGAGACAATTCTGTCTCCCACATCAGGAATTTTATTATGTGCATTTAAAGAATTTCTTTTGTCTTAAAAAACAACAACAATATCCTTGTGCAATTTATAAATGTAAATTACGATACAGGATCAAATTAATTCCCTTATGTTTTATTGCAGAAGTCATCAGCAAGGTATTTAGTGGCAGCATCATGGCAACTCCGAATATGGTGCTTACACGAAAGCCAGGCAGTATTGGTAAAAAATCTTGGCCACAATGCGTCACCTCGTGCATTATTAGCTTTAGTAACAGCAGGAAACACATGCTGGCTTATAGAGGGTTCACAGTTCGTATTATGTTTTCCTTTGATGCATATTTTAAATAAACCTTCAACACCAAAAAAGTCAACAAGTCTTATCAAAATATTGATACAGCCCATTGAGCTATTATGTACTACGTACTAGAGGAGACACTGCATTCAGCTACTCTGTTCCACTCAACTGCGGTGCATGCACCGCACTTTAATCAGTCACTCGCTAGGCGATTGTAGAGTTGTCACGTGTTGTGTGGATTTAAAAAAAATCTCTTGATAAAAATATGCCGTCTTGTGTACTTAGGTATTGCACAAATAATTCAAGAAATGTCAGTAAAAACCAAGGAATTACTTTTCATCGGTTAATAAGATACTTAATCAATAAAAAAGTATTATAAATTAATAATAAAACAAATTATTCCTAAGACGCCATCTCGTATCATGGATTATAGATTATGAAATTAATATGTTCAGATGCGACATTTCTGTGGGTACTTAAGTATAGGACGAATATATTTATTATACACATTTTTTTGTGGAAACATATATAAGTTATTATAATTAGGCTAAATTTTTCATGTTTAAATCTGCTTATTATTCTTTTATTTTATTTTTAGGTTTCCACATCAAAGTCAAAGTAGAACAAATTCGTCAATTTTTAACTCTCGCGTGCCCAGCATTTATGAACGAGCTTCTGATTCTAATTTAAATAAATATATTTGTAATTTAAATGTCATATTAACAAGTTTTGTTAAACAAACATTTAGTATGTTTTTTTATATTTGAGATAGACACCTTTTAAAATATTCAGATAAAAATATCATTAAAATGTAATTGTGGTATAATGTTATGTAATATTATATTAAATAAGCAAATATAATATACAAAATAAATGACAAAATTTAAAACATTGTTCTCGATATAATTTACCTATTTAACAGTACAATCTACTATTACCTACGGATCATTCTACCTATGTTTATTCTATGATAAAAAAACTAAACGCGCGAACACAGAGTAGCGCACATTTTTTGTTTGAGATAGCTGTTCTAGTACGTAAGTACATATTACTTCAATGATACAGCCAAAAATTTTGTATTATTTTCAACTTTCAGGAATGAACGACTCCTATCATTCTGGGATGTGACAATCACGGACGAAAACCTTCCCCAAGTTAACGGAGATGAACCCACACCTAATAAGAGACAGCGGAAGAAATCTATTACCAGTGTACCTCTTGTACCAACGCCGACGTGTAACTTCGTGCTGGAAGACGCACCGAAGATTTTAGATTTAAATGTAGAAATGGAAAATGGGACTAAATTACAGCTGGCAGCGGCAACTAGAAGTGGTGTTGTACATTTTTATGGACATATGTTGAATGGGTGAGCAATATGTATATATTGTTCTTGCTTCTTTTTAGCAAAATAATATTAACTGTTTCCCGCAACTTTGTTCGCATGGAATTTATTACGATTGTATTTCATGGGTTTTAATGTTTTTGCGCGGTACCCTAATTATTTTTCTAAATTAAACATAGCCTAAATTACTTCTTATAATATCAGCTATCTGCTGTCAGTGTTGGTCCCGTCAAAATCGGTCCAGCCATTTCAGAGATTAGTCAGAACAAACAGGCAGAAAGACATAATTATTTAAAAGTACTATATATACTCTCATTAAGTAAAATGCTGTTATTTTAACATTACAAACAAACCCTTCCATTTATTTGTATAGATAGATATACTTGTTGACCTATTAGTTTTATAAATAACTGAGAAGGGTTGCATACAGAAAGTTAGCGTATTTTTTTTTTTTACTTGTTGGTTCTCTTCATTTTTGTTCATGATTATTTAAAAAAAAAAGAGATCTGGCTGTTTTTAAAATAATCCAATCACTATAAAAAATTCTAAATAATTGTGGGCTAAAGTGATTTTTCCTATTCTTTTATTGATATCAACTATATATAAAAAAAAAAATTGATCTGATTTTGGAAATCTTTTCACGGTAGCCTAGTATATGTATAGAATTATATGGACTAGTTAAGCTTTTTACTAAAGACGTCTCGCGTCGTCGTTTTACGTCTAATAAATTACACCAAATTTGCAATATCAGCGACAGTAGGTTAAGGTGCAGCTGGGGTGGCCCTTGGACCATCCTAAAGCCGCATACATTATATTGATATAAAATATAATATTGGAAGAAATGAACTTTCTCGTTTTAAAAATTATTGGACGTATAACTATTTTTTATTTGTACAATTATCGTATGAATAATGATATTGCATGCCTTAAGCGCAAAGCGCGTAGGTATGTTCTACTAGCGTCTAAAAATCAAGAAAACAACGTTTTGTCGCATGCAATCGTATCAAACAATCATATTGAACATATAAATGATATAAAAAAGCACATTGTCAGAAGGATATTGATTATTGAACATATTTTTATTATTTTAAATTGATTAATTACTATTTTTACATTAAAAAAGTACTTTTAGTGGCTTATGATGTAGATTTATCAAGTCCGCATGGAGGGGTAAACACAATAACTTGAAAATATCAATTGTTCAATTCAATCTATTTTTTAATCTCTTCATCTATCATGTGGGAAGCCATGGAATGTTAATTGTGCTTAATGTTTTATTTTTTCTATTAATAAATAAATATATAAATTTAATTTTGTTTTGTTGTAATTTATTTCATTCGGCTGAGAAATTCTGAATTTTTCGGTGTTTGTGCAGCCTTGTTATAATATACTGTATTTTACTGTTAATATGGTTACTGTATCATTTGTTTACACTTTACTGTATAGTTTTTTTAATCATACGATTATCGTATGATTAGCAACAGACAATCAAAATCAAAAAGTCACGAAATAGTATCTTGTAAGTGCAGGCAGACAGAATCTCACCCAAACTACTTTTTATTTATTTTTCAGGGCCTCAACAAAACCGATCAAACCTTCAGTAACCGTGTATGTAACTACTGCGGACGCCACACCATTACCGCTCCAGTGCTGTAAACTGGCTACTACTGGGGATTTGCTGTTAGGATATACAAATGGTGCTGCATTGCATTTTGAAAGAGTTGTGAGTAGTTCTCTATTGTACTTATTGACAACCAGCTTTCTCTATGACTTAAAATATACTGGTAATAGTAAGTTGACTGTTTAGTAGTGGTATAACCCACATATCGTCCCGTGAGTATCGTCACATATCGTCAGACGCGACAGAGGAAAACAAACCATAGGATGGGCAGTAGCATCTTCCTAATAATAACCTAAAAGATTAAAAAACTGCAGTTGCCAACCCCATGCCATGCATGGGAACAATGGCATTTATCCCCCTTACTGAAAGGCCTATGTTCAGCAGTGGACATTGATAGGCTGTAAAGTTTAGAATGGAAAATGATAAGATGATGGTAAGTGTCAATGGGTCAGCCCTATAGTTTAAGAACTGACAACTGTTGGGTTAGAAAGGTTTTTGAGTGGCAGCTCCATACCAATAAGCAAATTGTAGCAAGTTGTAGGGTGGTTTTTCTCTAGATAGAGTGAGGACCTGGTAAGAGATTTATGAAGTAGATTGACGAGGAGTCTCCCTTAAGTGAGGGCTCTGAAGACCTGTAATGCTAGCCTGCCATGCTGATTCCCTCCCCCATAGGATATCTCATAAGAAAGAAATATTTGCCAAAGTTCCACTCAACAGACAAGTTGACAACCATAGTTTTTTATGATTTTGAGTTTTTATGAATGAATGAGATGCTGTTGCCCGTCTCCTGGTTCAGTTTCTCTCTGTCGCCTCTTACGACACCCACGGTATGATATTCGGTATCTCTTACATTGCCACAACACGGTATTGGCCAGCTAGCTTAGTTATTTGAGTATGAGATGCTTTTTTTAATCAATATAATTTATTTTTAATTGTTGTCATTATATTTTATTTCACAAGCCTATAATTTTTCTTGCAGACACCAGATCTAAACACAAAAACACAAATTCTTATACGCGGAGACGCGAAAGAGGGCAAAAAGAAAGTAAAACAGACAAACGAAGTCAACAAAGTGAGGTCGGACCAAAAATCTAATGACGTCACATACGTTGAACCGATGGGCGGAGTTACCAGGAAGCGACCCACTCCAGGTGGACAGGTTAGTTATTGGTGAACATTGTTTCTCAAAGTTTCGTTTCACGATCCCTAATTGCATCTTCATATTGACTTTTCCCATCATCGTGCCCCTTTATTCTTTTCTATCTCTTAGTGTAGACCATGCAAATTATTTTCATATAACAAATTTTTTTGTTAAATTTTTTTTCATTTATATTTTAACTTTTCTTCGCATTTGAGACTATAAATTTCAATATTTCTTCATTGCAAGGCGCCAAAGTCCTTTACATAAAATTAAAAAAAAAATCTTGAAAATATTGTTATTAAACGAAAATGCTATTCATATCATACATTATTGATTGTTCTTTCCTTGCATACTTCACAAAGAAATGATATCGTGAAACTTTCATATGACACCTTATTTTGTTAAAAGGGAACCTGGGGTTTGACACACATGAGATGAAGAGAAATACAGATACCGTTACCGTTACGGCCTACTAAAATTCACTCAGAACATAGGCCACCTATATAAATTGCTTTATAGGGGGATATTTGCCATAGTTGTCAGTAGTGTTTGTGGTGTGTTGTTTCCAGTAAATGCACATCGCTTGGAGAAGTTTAGAAGTAACATAGTAAAAAAACTTCCATTACTTTCATACCAAAATAATCCAAATTTTTTGTATGGAACATTATTTAAGCTTATTTGCAATGAATTTAATAATATTTTTACTTTACTTTACTTTTACTTCTAAAACATTCTCCTTGAACAATCACAAAGCATTTAATGAATGGGCGACAGTAGGAGTCCATAAGAGTAGACAAAGGTTATATGAACTTTACAAGACTATTGATATTAATAGAACAGCCGATCTGTGGAGGTAAAGTTATTGCGTCTATAATAGATGCGATCGAAACTCAACTATCTATTATTTTTAATACTAGTATTGTATCTGGTGTGTTTCCTGATTTAATGAAGCATAGTAAAGTAATACCTTTATTTAAATCTGGTAGTACATTGGACCCCGCTAATTTTAGACCTATTTCTGTACTGCCAACACTTAGTAAAATTTTTGAAAAAATTATTCTTGATCAAATGTTAATTTTTTTTAATGTAAATAATTTACTTCATAAAAATCAATTTGGTTTCACAAGGGGTCGCTCGACAACTGATGCTGGTGTTGAGCTGATTAAATATATATTTGATGCATGGGAGAATTCACAGGATGCTTTGGGTGTATTCTGTGACATATCCAAAGCCTTCGATTGTGTTCACCATGAAACATTAATCAGGAAACTTCAACACTACGGTGTAAGAAGCGATGCTCTTAAATTAATTATTTCATACTCAGACAGAACGCAAAAAGTTGTCATTAATAGTATGAGTTCTTCCGGGTCGATTGTACAAATGGGCGTGCCTCAGGGCTCAATTCTCGGCCCTTTTCTATTTCTAGTATATATTAATGACTTACCTTACATAGTAGGGGATAACCATGATATAGTATTATTTGCTGATGATACTTCTTTAATTTTCAAATTAAAACGACAGTTATTAAATTACGACGAAGTAAATAATGCTATAGCTAAGTTAGTCAATTGGTTTAATGTTAATAATTTGCATTTGAATGGAACTAAAACTAAATGTATGAAATTCGTAACTCCTAATGTTAAACATGTCAATACTAATGTAATTTTAAATGGGGGGGCAACTGAGTCTTGTTGATACCACCATTTTTCTTGGAATCACACTGGACGCAAAGCTTCAATGGGTCCCCCATATATCAAAACTAGCTAGCAGACTTAGTTCTGCAGCATATACTGTGAAAAAAGATTAGAACTCTTACCAGTGTTGAAACAGCTAGTATAGTTTACTTTAGTTATTTCCATATCATTATGTGGTATGGTATTTTGCTATGGGGACACGCGACTGACACTGAAGTTGTATTTATTTTACAAAAGAGGGCCATTAGAGCAACATATAATTTAAAACCAAAAGAGTCACTGACACAAAAAATTTAAGGAAATTAATATATTAACTCTGGCCTCTCAATACATTTATGAAAATGTAATGTACATACACAAAAATGAAAGTAGTTTTGCGAAAATAAGTGATATTCATTCTGTAAATACTAGGAACAGACACAAGCTAGTAGTACCAGTTATTCGACTCAACCGAGTCAATAATTCATTCTTGAGGCGATGTATACGCTTTTACAACGAAATCCCAGGAAATATACAAAATTTGTCATACACGAAGTTCAAAAATGTTATTAAACTAAGTTTGTATAAAAAGGGTTATTATAATATTAAGGAATTTATGGATGATAATAACCCCTGGGAAGGGTGATCGCTACCAAGCTATTTCTAATTTGTCTTGTGTTGTTTATTGTAAACATTATTGTAAGCTATTATTGAAAAAAAAATAGTCCCGCTGGGTATCTTGCTGGTTCTTCCCAGGACAGAGGTTTTTTTTGCAAACCAGTGGTAAATGAAAAAAGTGACTTTCAATAAGTATTATAAGCTACATTGAATAAAAAAAGTTTCTGTTTCTGTCTCGCTTGACAAGTGGATCGGCAACCATATATTATTTATTTTTAGTTGTTATTAGGAACATGAAGGTTAGAGAACAGGAGAATGATCACTACGTACTAAAGCATAGCCCGCCTGTCCTTGAAAATTGTAGAATTTATAGCAGTGCTGACATTGGTGAGTAGTGACTGCGAAGTTAGCTGTTTATGAGTACAAGTAAATGAAGTTAGTTGAATAATGTACAAATTTTCTCCGCGGCATTGGTGAGAAAATTTTCACGCTCCGTAATTTTGTAATTTTTGACAAAAAGAAACATTAAAAAATGGAGAAATATTTTCTTGTGCGTGGATGTGCAAGTGGTTTAACATCTGATCGGAAAAATGGACTGAAAATGACTTTTATTGACCAAACTTAGTGATCGCAGCGCCTCACTTATGGTATCTATTTTCTACGGCGATCGTTCTCCTGTACTCTAACCTTCATGATTAGGAAGATGCTGCTGCCTATCTCCTGATTTGTTTCCCTCTGTCGTTTCTTACGGCGCCCACGCGATGATATGGGGTAGTGGATATTCTTACACCGCCACTACACGGTAAGAGATTTAGAAAAAAATGTTTTAAACTAATCCAATTTATATTATAGGTGGAAGTGACAATGGAAGAGAGATTAGCAAATTTAGGATTAGATGTTAAAAACAGAGGCAAGTCTGCCGTCAACCAGAACCTTACAAAGTTACTAATGCAGGGCTTGCATTCGAAGGATAAAAGGTGTGTACTTACATAATAGATTTTTATATTTACTTTGAATGCTCTCATTACATAAACGAATTTTATTGCATGTATACTATACTTTAATCCCATCTGAGCTCCCGGACATTATTGTTACGAGTTCTAGAACGACACGCCCTAAGGCTTTAACCTATTTAACTTACGAAGGTCTATCCGTCAATGGATAATATAATGTAAATAGACAATTACTCTCATGACACCCACGGGATAAGGAGAAACAAATCAGGAGATGGGCAGCAGCATTTCCCTCATAACCACTAAAAAACAACTTCGGTTGCCAACCTGCTTGTCAAGCGTGGCAACTATGGCAAATATCTCCCCTATGTGGCAATCTATGGGGGAGGTCTATGTTCAGCAGTGGACTTTAATAGGCTGTAACGGTAAATAATTACTGTATGTGCGACACTACATCTTTGTATATAACACGGTTAGAATATCTCTGCACCTCGCTGGAATGCGATGTCCCTCTCGCATCCTCCTTCACCACGCCGCGCTCGCCTTAATCGCGTTAGTATGGTTAGCTTGAATAGTGTAAGAAAATGGTTATAAAAAAAATGATATTTTTAGAATTCAATACTGTTTTACAGTGAAGAAGCTAGAGCTCCAAACTAGGGCAAGCCCAAGATATAAATTGATAAAAATAAAGATTGTTGTTTTTAGCAGTTTTATAAAAATACACCAATATTGATCTGTCTCCGCTCTTCAGTTTCATATTCAGTGCTGTCAAGAACGGGTTTAATAAGGACACAGGCATACTACAGTTAGATAGATTGTATTACATATCAGCAATCGTAGTGGAACGAACGAAAAAGATATTTACATACAATACAATACATGAACAAAATTAAAACAAGAACAAAGTACAAACAAACTATGTACAAAATTAAAAAAAAAATATTTACATTCTGAATGGAATCGTCTCTCTTTCTTAAGGAAATATTTAATTACGTCCACGTAAAATGTTGGTGAACGTTTTAATTGTACCAATAACTGTTTAATTGCGATAATTAATAAGTCTGAAATACACTCTTGACCTTGTCTATTATCTCAACAAAGTTTAAAGATTTTACCTTTTCCTCTCCGATTAGCACTTTAACACACTTCAATTCATCACAAGGAACACTATTATCCTCCATTTTCACTAAAAATCTTTAAAAAGCATACATTTTCAACGCAATATTAAATCACTTAAGCTAAACACACAGAGTAAATAAACATTGAAATGTGAAATGAACTTGCAAACGTATTGCCGTGCCTCCGCTTTTGACAACTTCATTCCTAAAGCCTGGCTTTAAATCTCTATACTAATTGCTATATATACAATCGTAGGTATATTTAATTATAGAATATTTTGCCATAGGTTAGAAAGAGAGCGATCGTCTTCTCGAAAGCCCCGTAAAAAGCCCACGCAAACGAGAGAGAGAACTAATCGCTTTATTAAAACTCATTTTTTATGACAGCAGCAGTATCGCTAAGGCAATACGAGGTCATCGGTCGATCTGTGTCGAACAATGGAGTGCGCGGAGAACTTGAAATAGTTTGAAACAGTTTATGAGTTATTTTATTAGTTGATATTATGGCTTGTAAGCTTCGTCACTGCTGTTTTATTAAGTATCAATCACTAAAACCAAAAACCATTCATGGGATCTTATTATATATTTAATTGGAAAATCCTTTAATCTAAACCTCATACAAATGCATCTGGCAGTCGAGTAAAAATATCATATTTCTAGAGATGCTTATTTAGCACACTGTACCGTGAATGTGACGTCATCGAGCGAGGATCGATCGTGTTGTATATAATTCTTCTGTCTATGTGACTGAACTCCTCCTAAGTCACTAGACCGATTTTAATGAAATTTTGTGTCGTTAAGTTGATTAGATCCGATAGGTGACGTTGTTGTCGAAATCTGTAAAATCACCCGTGCGAAGCCAAGGCGGACCACTATTTTTTTTATATAACTAAAATAAATAACAAACATAGCGTCCACTTGATTATAACTATTATAATTATAAAAATAGGTCTTATTATTGAAATACAGCAGTGCACGCATGCAGCTATTATTTGTCGGCAGAAATAGTGATAACACATTTTATTTTATTTTACTTAACTTGCATATATTATCCTCAGGTTCATGTAACTGTACCTTTATAACTTTTTTAAATTCCAGGATAATACTAACGGTGCTACAAAAAGACGACCCGGCAGTTGCAATGAGGACAGTATCGCACCTGCCAGCGGATTATGTATCATTATTATTAGACCAGTTGGCAGATATGGCTACTAGAAAGACCAGTCAGTGAGTAACGAGTTTTCTAATTTAGTTATATATTATACAGTTTTTTCCCCTCGTGGGTGTCGTAACAGGTTAGCGTTAAGAGGTTGATTTGTATTTTTATCAAAACATCTTAATAAATTTTAAGTTACTGCATCTAGTTTACTAAGGCCTTGATACCCCTGGGTGACAAACGAGCACACAGTCCACCTGTTGCTTGATGGATACTGTGATCCTTAGATTATGAATCAAAATGCAGATGCTTTTTCAATTAAAAGCCCAAAAAGATTAAAGACTTTCAAGTGACAACATATCTGATTAGATGGGCAACGGAGAAAAGTGACAAAGATGAATAAGATAGTTGTCCATTTGACACTCATTCAGCAGTAAGGCATTTTAAATAACAGAGTTACAGCATTATGGGTCAGCACGACCTGGGGAGGATCATGCTTGCACATAATCCCAGCTTAAAATAGCAGCATAACAATGCTTTGAATGGTGAGTGATGAGAGTCGAAGGCGACGGAGAGTAATTAAAACAGGAGGATGGGATGGAAGATCTTTCGATAATACAAAATTGCGGTTGCCAACCCAACCTTCAGGCGTTGCAACTGTGAACTATACAACTATTACCCTTTGTTGGGCTGTAATGGATTCATGGAAGGCATCCTATATTATTTATCCTGGGTGGTAACATATCTTTATTTTGATTTTAATCAAGGTTAGATGTAGATGTCTATGGGCCACTGAAACCACTTAACGACAAATGCCTTTGTGGTCACGATTTCTTCTATGTAAAAGTTATAGTAGTTGGTAAAGTCGTAGACAACTACATCTATCTTCGATTAAGAATCAAAATGCAGATGCGATGCCTCATTACCGGATAAAGTTATATGTGGTAGAGCCAAGCTGTAGCTATATTATGATTGTAGCACAAATGGGTCGGCTCGATCGGGCAAGGACCATGTTCTCTCGGAATACCAGCGTGAAATAGCAGCTTAATACTGCTGTGTTTCGTATAGTGAGTGATCCGGAGACCGTTTTTTACTGGAAACTAGGGATTCCATCTTAATCCTCTGGGGAAACAACGCATCCGCGTTTTAATTCTTAATTGAGGATAAATGTAGATGCCTATGGGCCACAGCATCCACTTACTATCAAGTGAACTGTGTGTTTGTTTGTCATTCTTATTCTATGAAAGATAAAGGGGTCTCCGGTTCTCTACACCCACCATACGAAATACAGCAGCATTGAACTGCTATTTAAGGCTGGAATTCTGTGAGAACATGGTCCTTCTCCAGTTGACTCCACCATTCGCACTTCAACCATAATGTACACTTCTTTATACACTAGTCCCCTTCACTTGTCTTTCAATCTCCCCTGATTTCCAGATGCGCGTCAGCTTGCACGTGGCTCGGAGCAACATTGCGGGCGCACGCAGCGTTGCTACTGGCGACTTCACCCCAGCGGCTCACACATTTACTGGCAATCCTTACCCACAGGTATATACCGCAAACTATTTACGAGATTTTTATACCAGTCAATTACGTATCTGTTTACCATGTAATAGTAGTGTAGGCTCAATCTTACTTTGGAATCAGTTGAGATTTTGGCCGTGGCTTGAAAAGGGGAGATCTCCCACCGGGCAAGGTTTCAGTCAATGCTCCATGTGTTGTTTCGGAGCTGCTGAGCTTCAGAACTTTGATAGCGCGATTTAGGCTTCGGCGTGTTTCGCTTGTGGCGCCAGAGCAACGCGGCGCCACAAGATGTGATGAAATTTTTTTTTCGATGTCGATCCTTTGAGACCGATGAAAAATAAAGTTTTTATATAATATTGAAAATAAAGTTTTATCTTTTGAATAAGTACATACCTATTCGGTGTCGTTATCACTCGAATCTTTATATGTGTTGTAAATTAATGCTTTTTGTTGTTAAATGAATAAAGTACTTTATTACAATAGTTGATTTTTCTTCTACAGTGATCTTTTAAATAACTTTTTTAATAATAGTTAATAAATATGTATTATATCCATTAACTTATATATTACTAGCGTAAGGACCGGGCCGACCGAACAACTAAAACGGACCAGTACGCTGGCACTAAAATTACAGTTTAGGGCCAACGTGAATCGGTCGACAGTGGTGCGCGAGCAGGACAGATTTCCCTGTCATAAATATGTCAAATTGCGTGATAAAAGAATGCAAAAATTACGATACAAAGATTAAATAGGAACATGGGATATCGTATCATCGGTAAAATAACCTTATATTCATTTTGTTAATATAAAATTATTATATAAACGCATTTTTAAATTTTTTTTTTACGGTTAGTTTAGTTATGTTACCAAGATTAGGCCAGGGTTAGATTCAGACCCTCAAAAATATTGTACATGGAAAATAAAATATATTACTATTTTTTTAAGATTACATCATGTTTGACGTGTCATTTCTTTTTTTCCACGTTCCTGGATTTTGGCATCACGCGTCTAGTTTATCTATAAGTTTCGTTTTTTGCCGGTTTTATTTTTATTTCTGTTTAATTTTTGTCTAAAGAACTTAATATAAGTTAAATTTTTAATATTGGTACCTAATATATTTTATACTCAATAAGGGTAAAATAAAAAGAGTACAAAAGAAACCATATCTGCTTAATTGAATCTGATTCATAAAATATTTTAAAATTCTGTTTTCAAGCCGATTGCGTAGAGCTTAGTTTTTATCGTGGTAGCCCCCCATTATAGTTGTATCAAGGATGCAACATAGGTAAATGCATTGATTGAGCACCGATTGACCAGAAAGGGAGCTAATTCGAATTTTACTAAAAAAAACGCGGTACTCATGTACAATACAGAAATTCTCGATATCGTTGAGTTATTATTAAAAAGTAAAAGTACCCAATAATAATACAAGTCGACCTTTAGGTAAAGTTATGGTACTTTCGCATAGTATTATTACGATACTACATACTACAAACTATGAAATAATGGTACAATTAGGATAATAATTATACTACGAAATCCGACCCTGGTTACGTCGTGTTATGATATGACGTTTATATTATGACTTATGACAGATGCGCTACTTTTTCTTGTATGAAAAAGTTATGAGTAAAATATTTAGATGGCCCTATCCTTTCTTTCGAAATCATTGATTATATCGATCGTTATAAAAAAAAAAAAATAAAAAAATCATTATAAATAAAGAAAGTACTACATATAAAAAGTGCCTATATATTGAAACGACCGAAAGGTCAATGTCCATTTTTCTCAATGAATTTGGCACGAACTATACCACATATTTTGTTAGACGTAAAAAACCTCAACGACAACTTTACGAAACACCTGATAATCTAACAGTGTAGTGGATGGTGTAAAAATATCCACTAATCCATATCGTTCTGTTGGTGTCGTAAGAAGTGACTGAGGGAATCTAAAACAGCATTGGGCAGCAGCATTTTCTGGATAACAACTAATAATAAAAATGCTGCGGTTGTCTACCCGTCTGTCTACAATCTGGCAACTATGGCAAATTTCCTCATATGAGGCATTCTATGGGGGAAACTTACATTCAGCAGTGGATGTTTACAGGCTGTAATGGATGGATAATGAAAATGAATAATGCAAAGTTTACTCTGCTCCCCCCCCCCCCCCTACCTCTTCATACAGGTTCTTTCGGCCAAATAAAGCATATACGCGAACGCTAAGAAGAAGGGATATAAAAGGCAGACCACATTTTTTTTAAATTGAGCAACATCATAATTACACTGCTGGACATGAAGCCGAGCGAAGCCGGGGCGGATCGCTAGTTATTTTATAGTGTTGCCTCTCGGAATTTTAGAAAGAAATCCCTTCTTTCTAAAATTCCGGGAGGACCATGACGCATTCTCTCGTCCCTGCTACATTACTGCATCTCAATCATAGAATACTATAATACATACTAATAATAGAACGGGGGAGTGGGCGGAGCCCGTGTAGCCACTAACATGTCAATTCACACGTATAACTGTCAACACGAGATGTGTTTTGGCGTTACAATCGTTTCCGAATTTCGCATGCAAATAATTTAGAAAATGACAAATTGCGCACTGTTTACAAATAAATATGTATTAAAATTTAAACGATTTTTTTTTAATGATGATCTTGAACATTAATCAAAAGTTTAAAATGTTTAAATTTACTCAGTCTGTCAACACAGCGAATGGGGTTTGTAGTAGTGATAATATGACTGACGTAATTGCTTATATGTGTGCTCCCGGCGAACCGACCCCCGTACAAAATAAGGTTGACAGCCATGCTATTGTGTGTTATAGTATTATATGGTCTCAATTTAAATAATAATTCATTAGGCACTAAAATCCCAACGATTTGACGCCACGTTTAATTTGGAAACATTGTTTCCAAGGAATTCTTAAAAGCATGGTACTGATTCACCTGCATCCAACTTCCTGCGTCTCTTACAAGGTTAGCACTCCCATCTATTTGGGTACTGGACAGTGAAAATTCCTAATTAGGTAAAATTACACATTAAAGAAGTATAAGGTAAAATTACACATGAAAGAAGAGCCGTGGTAGCTCAGTGGTTAACGCTCGCTGTAAATATAACAGAACGCGAGTAACCCGGGTTCGATCCCCGCCGGCACCAATGAAATTGTTAATTGCAATTTTAAGTGCTGATTTACCACGTGCTCGGCGGTGAAGGAAAACATCGTGAGGAAACCTGCATGTCTGAGGAATAAGAAAAAAAATATTTCGAAGACATGTGAAGTTCGTCAACACGCATCAGATCCCAAACCCTCTCAGAAATGAGGGGAGGCCTGAGCCCAGCAGTGGGACGTATATAGGCTGTAACTTTACTTTTTTTACACATTAAAGAACAAAAAATAATTTTTACATAATAGCTTCTGAAGTTGACGCTCATGTAATCTATAGAAGAGATAAAACCCCAACTTCATAACTATTATATTGAAATTATTGTTATCTTTTTTTTTTATAGAAAAGGATGACAAACGACCACACAGTTTACCTGATAGTAAGTGGATGCAGTGGCCCATAGTCATCTACATTTATCCTCGCTTACTTTTTAAACATGTTAATAATGAATTCACTAAGATTCGCGTAAAAAAATAAAACGATGTATCTTATCTAATTTGAAGAGCATCTCCCGCCCAACTTCAATTGCGTGCACTATCCCCGTCACCACTACTCTTAACACCACGACACTAGGAACGACACATTAGATTTATTTATATATTTATTAGGACAACCAACAAGACATACACGAACACAATACAAATACTAGAGAGAACAGCAAAGTATCTATCACGAATTAAAGGTTGCCGCAGTATGTAATGTGGACTACAAATATGTTTCTTATAATTATTCCAGAAATTTTAATTATTATTAATATTTGAAGTGAAAACTTCTTTAGCGGCGTTGTACACTTTTTTGTAATGGGTAAAAAATGTTCAGCTCGCGTCAGGACACGTGACTCTGATCGAAAATTCGTAAGACGGATGGAGAGAGAGAGACAGTCGGCGCGACGTAGGAGGAAGCCCCTGGCGAAAATGTATGCCTGCGCCTGCTGTTTCGTTTAGGCTGCGCAGGGCGCTTGCGCGAATGTTAGTGTGTGATAATTAAAGCAATTCGTGGAAAATTATCCCCTAATCATTCCAAAATATCAAAAATGCACAACGTTAATATTCAAGTTTTCACTTCTGCCGGCACTCCCGGAGTGCAACCCGTCTTTTTTTTTTTTTAAATTAGACCCAAATGTTTGCTTACAGCAAAGGCCTGCAAAATTTTACGCGTGAATTTTTGAGGCCTATCAGCAAAGATATCGACGTCACATGCCTTGCAGAGCTTATTATATCGACGGTGGTGTCATTTTATTTTATTACGCGGTTCTCATCAAAATCTTTAATCCTTTATTTTTGTCGGCTAAAAAACTGATTTTTTTTATAGAATAAGGGTGACAATCGAGTGCAGACACACCTGATGGTGAATGATGACACCGGATGCTGTGGTCCGTAGACATCTACATTTATCCTTAATTAAGAATCAAAACGCAGATGCGTTGTTACCCTTAAATAGACTAAGATGGAATTCCTCGTTTCCAGTAAAAAAGGTTCTCCGGATCTCTACACTCACCATACGAAACACAGCAGTATTAAGCTGCTATTTTACGCTGGTATTCTGTGAGAGCGTGGTCCTTCCCCGGCCGAGCCCACCCATTCATGCTACAACTATAATATAGCTGCAGCGTGGCTCTACCACGTATAAAAATTATGAAATAATTGAAACACACAAAATCAAGCAAAATGCTTTTATTCCCCAGGCGGTCACATTTATGTCAGCTGCTCAACATCAAAGGCCGTTTAGAGTTGATCTCTTCACAGCGAGGCACAAGAGATACAGAGTTGGATCACGAACCTGTCTTACAGTATGATGGTGAGTATTTCTTTCATTTCAAACAGCCTGTAAACACTGATGTTCATAGGTCTTTTTAGAATAAGGGTGACAAACGAGTACACAGTTCACCAGCGCATAGACATCTACATATAACCTCGAAAATGCAGATGCGTTGTCACCCCTAAGATTTTTAGATGGAATGCCAATGAAATTGTTTCAAGTAAAAGGGGTTTCTGATTCTCTACACTCACCATATAAAACGCAGCGGAATTGAGCTGCTACTTTACGCTGGTAATCTGTAAGACCGTGGTCCTTCCCTGGTCGAGTCGACCCATTCGTTCTACAATACCATATTATTATAGATGCATCATGGCTCTACCACATATAAATTTGCCATAAGTGTGTTCTAGAGCAATATTTTATGAGATTATATTCACTGAACATGGTACATTGCCATGGTACGGAGGATATGTCATATTATTAATGGTGTTTGTCTATGAGTAATTTGTGCTTTATGTGTATAAAATAAGGTATGTTCCTAATAACGAGTAAAAGTAAAAAAACTTCAGTTGCCAACCTGCTTGCCAAATGTGGTAGCTATGACAAATATCCCCCCCTATGAGGCAATCTCTGGGGGAGGCCTATGTGGACTTTAATAGGCTGAATGGTAACAGTAACGGTATATAAAAATATCATATAACAGCCCGCTTTTTTTTCAAATTCAAATTCTTTATTGCATAACTTAATCTATTACATAGCATATTGTGGTTGGAGCTTCCTTTTAAGCAAAGGATTTGCTTGTACTTTAATAATATTCTTCTGAAAATAGATAAGAGAAATAATAAAGATAAGAAGTGTGAACTTTTATTAACCAAACCACTATGTGGTGGAGCTATATACCTACTTTTAGCGATTTCCAAAATTATGAATTATAATGTAAATTTACCAATACATAAATGATGTATTATTCTATATAAACATTGGGTAAGTCACAACCAATGGGAAAGAAAGGTTTTCGAGTGCCAACCGCGTACCGGTAGGTGAAGTGCAGGACGACCCCCCCACTAGATGGAGTGCCGACCTGGTAAGCCATGCAGGAAGTCGTTGGATGCAGGTGGCTCAGGACCGTGCTTTGTGGCATTACTTGGGGGAGGCCTATGTTCAGCAGTGGACTTTGAAGGGCTGTAATGATGATGAGGATATAATCATTGATGCGATCTGTTAGTGATTATGTTATTTATGAATAACTTTACAAATGGTACGAATTACAATTCTGGCCAATGTCAGTTATTAGGTTTTTTATTTATTTATTTATTTAAACTTCATACAATAAATATAATAAATAGATATAAATAAGTGTATATAACATAAATAAAGCCGTTGGTCCTTCGTCTGATCTCTTTCCGGTCGTGTCGGATTACTGTCCCATCGAGATCTGAGAGTGAGGGAATAAAGAGTGCACTTGTGCTTGCGCATACACTTCTATTGTGTATGCGCAAGCACAAGTGCAGATGGCTAGTCTCCATTGAGACAGGCCACCGTTTCTGAAAATTTGGTCTGGAGGATATTATTATTATAAATGTAATGGAGTTTTTTATTTAAATTTTTACCCACTTCCGAACATTTTGAAATTTTGCAAATACTAAGATAACAACTATAATTTCATGGATATGACCGAATATTCTCACGCAATGACATCAATGCGTGCGATTTTAGTTTCTAAAACTATTTGACCACGTTTTTAAACCCAGGCGAAAACAGACTGATGTATTTATGTTGGTAGTGTGTATCTGTGTCTGTCTGTGTCATCATAGCCCTTGAATGGGTGAACTGGTTTTAAGTGATTTTCGTTTGAAAGGTGTCTTAATCAACTGTTCTTAACTATGTTCCAAGTAAATCTATAAAAAAAAGTAGTAGATTATTTTTTTACCTCAATAATTATTTTTTCTCGTAGACACATCGTCTGAAGAGGAAATGGAGGTGGAGCGTTACCAGTCGGACGACAGCGCGCAATCGTGGGACGAGGCGGAGGACGAGGGGGAGTGGGGCGAGGCGGGGGGAGGGGAGGCCGACAGCGTCGACTCGGACTGACGCGGAATAAACACCTTGAATTTTTATGTGTTGTTTTATTGGAAATCGTTTTACCGCGTTTCGGCCGAGCTCAAATTGTAATATTTTTGACAGATACATAAGTATGTCCGTTTTTATGTATGACCGATTAATCCAAATCGTTATTTCATAAAAATAAATAAAATGGACATGAACAGTCAAAAACTTGCGACCTAAAACAAATAATGAACAAAATATAATAAACATTATATACACTGGAAAGGCATTTAATAAATAGATTTCTTATTCAATATCTAATATATAAATATTTAAAAAATCTGAAACATTAGTTTTACTTGTGTAAATATAAGAAATCATTGAAATGAAATTATTTTCTTCTTAGTAATTCGAAGACCGCATTTATTCTTACTTATTCGTTAGATCTGCCCTAAGATCTTTTAAACAAGTTGGAACATCTTCTCAACAACTGAAATCACTTGATACGTCAAAACACGTTTAAAATACGTTTTACACGTGTACATTGTGCACTTCCACACTGCCAACATCTCAATACATATTTTTTACAAAATGTTACGTTTTAGAATTCATATTATGAACAGATTTTTTTATAACTCACCATGTATGGTAGCCGGACTTAAACGGTCATCCACGACACAGCCCAGAAGAAGTGAAATTGCTCACAGCTAAGCAACTCCTTCAATTCTTTGAAGACTGGTATTTCTAGACCTGCGTATTTGTTACAAGCAGCGGACAAAATGTAAAAAAAATGATATAGGGACTGCAAGGGCGAAGTAAGACCTAAAGGGGGACGCCCATTTTCGGCCATGGAACGCCCAACAATGTGAATTTGTTAAAAAATTATATCTTTATTTATGGTTATTAATCGCGGTATTCATTTATCCTCAAACAATGGGAATATTTTTGCACAAATTAAAAGTACCGGAAACATAATAATAAAAATTAGGTAAATCATTATGTCATTAGTTTGTGAATAAAAAAAAAGTGTTGCCAATCACAAAACACATTTAAAAATCGATTCTCTTTTTCGATTGATTATTTACGGTGTCATCATTACAGTGCTAATATAATTTTTAAATAATTATGATGTTACGATAATTAAACAAGCGAATTACTAGCTGATTTCTAATGAATTCTTTAGAGAGTAACAAATGCTACGGCACAATTTAACTGTTAATCTTAACCGATCTTCTTTGAAAACAGATAAGAACTGTTATTCTTATCTGTTTTTAAAGAAAAATCGGTTAAGTTATTCTTATCTGTTTATAACAACACATTTAAAATAGAATCATGTTATGATAACGAAACAAGTTAGTTTCCAGCTGATTTACCATGAATCCTTTAACCTTTTGAGCGCCAAAGTCGCCTATACTTGACCAACACCTGCGGGCCCTGAGCGCCAACGACGTCTATAGTTGACAAAAAACCCGGCTCCGAAAAATATGAAATATAGATATTGGAAAATTATTACAGGTATTTTAATTCTACACTCCTCAAAATAGGAATAACCCAGCAACATGTGAGTATAAAAAACAAGTCTTCTAGAGCCACAAGTACTAAGAAACATTGAACTAATAAAAATGGATTTTTATCTAAGCAAATACTATGTCCAGCACGCCAAAGTCGTCTATGGTTGACCGCTAGTATCAAACGCGGGAGGCATAGATTTCTTGAAAACTATCCAAAATTCGGCTCAGTGGTGTTTTTTTTTTCTATTATTATTGATATTTGAATAAAATTAAAGGTTATAAACATAAAACTATCCTTAGCTACATGAATAAAAAAATGTTATCAGGTTATCTTCGTATAATAAATCTAATATCTCAACTCTAGCGCATCTTTAGCGCGTCATCGAAAATCAGTTCACTGGGCACCGTGATCAAGGATAGACGACACCCTGATGACGTCATAAGTGATTACCGAGAAAAGTAGAGCAATGCAACATGAACGATTCCTCAGAACTCATTCGGATTTTGGAAAGCGTCGATGATGATGAATTTTGATTTTTGATTGATGAATTGTGATGAAATGTTTATTTATTCCATGACCAAGATTTTAGTATTATAAGGCTGATTTACCTAGTGCGAATAATTATATACAATTGTTGATTAATGAATAATTATGTACCTTTTTTAATAATACAAAATTACAATTAATGTTTTTTTTACTTAGGGTGTGAAGAGCAATTTTTCATTTTGTGTTGTGCCATTTTCTTTCTCAGTCTCAAAATCATCTAGCAGCATCAGCATCATATCAAATCCCCATTGTCATAAGAGTGTAAGACTTTTCTTCTGTGCGTCACTTGGCCTACGCCTTCCCCGACACATAAAATATTATGAATCGATGTCTGTATATTTCGGTTAGATCGATTTTGAAATCGATACACAACATTCTAAGAATTAAAAGGGAAGGTCAGCTACGCCGTTGTCGTCCAGTCGCGACAGTGTCGTCATTAGAATGGAGAGTAGTGCTAATGTTTACTACTATTTTATTGTTATTGTTTGTTTTTTATTTATGTTTATATGTACAAAGTACATATATAAAAAGAGTGGAAGACGGCACAAGATTAAATAAAACATACAGTTTATTAAGAGTCATTTATAGCATAAAAAACCAACAAAAACAAGTTATTTCACGTTATCGATATATCAACTCTTGGCAACACTATTTTGTTTTGGCGCTTTGGCGTACAGGACACGGTAATGCGTTTTTGGCGTGGCGCTCAAAAGGTTAAAGCTTAACAAAACGCAACTGCACAATTTTTATCAATTTCAAGACAAAAACAACCGTTGTTATCGGCTTGGTTGAAAACGTTAACAACCGCCTTCACATCTGTAGTTATGATAATTAAATAAGCGATTTAATAGCTGATTTACAATGAATTCTATGCAGTATAACATAACGCTACTGCACAATATAACTGTTATTCTTATCTTTTCTTAACAATACATTTAAAATGAAATCATGTTACGATAATTAAACAAGTGAATTTCTAGCTGATATACCATGAATTTTTTAGAGCTTCATAAAACACTACTGCACAATTAACTGTTCTTAAAAATACACTTAAAATAGAATTTAAATAAAAAAGGAAAATACCTTTTTAAAAAGCGAGCAGAAGTTAAAACACCTCCAAGATTATTCTCTTTTTATGAAATTATTAATCGAATAATAATCGAATCGCTATGGATATTATGATGTTACGATAATTAAACAAGCGAATTACTAGCTGATTTACTATGAATTCTTTAGAGTACAATAAAATGCTACTGCACAATTTAACTGTTATTGTTATCTGTTTTAACAATACATTTAAAATGGAATCAAGTTATGATAATTAAACAAGTGAATTTTTAGCTGATTTACAATGAACTGTTTAGAGCATAACAATACGCTACTCCACATTTTAACTGTTCTTAAAAATACGTTTAAAACATAATTTAAAAAAATAAAAGAAAATATATTTTAAAAAGCGTGTAGAACTGAAAGCGAAACTCAAATATTATTATTTTTTCATTAAATTACTAATCGAATACAAATCGATATCGTTTCGTTGTATTTATGTTAGTTATGTGGCAACATCAAATCTGACAGCTATAGGAAATATGTCATGCGAAATGAAATCACAATTCAACAAGTAAAAAGGTACTAGTGAATTCACAACTAAATAGTTGCCATTGTGTTATTTTGTTTGTTATTTTTCAAATAAATTCTCAAGAACTCATATGGAGTGAGATTGTCGATCACATTATAGTGTGACAACAGTTAAAAGTAAGTGTTCAACAGTTTTTAATTTATTAATTCTAGTGCTGATATTTGATAGTGATGAATGTATGAAATGATGAAGTTGTTTTATTTTTTAACATATGCACAAGCTATACCTGACAAACAAAATAGCTTATTTGTAACACGGCGATAAGATTAGCTAGCTAACACCAGATAGTTACGAAATGGACAATTTTTATCAAATACCAAGAAATAAGACAGTCGATTTTTAATTGTTTTTGGACTACTGGTAGACAGTCAGTCCTTAATTACTAAATAATATAGGGCATTAAGTTTAAAGTAACATTTACCTATATTTGAGTTTAAAGTAAACAAATCTATTTTATTTTGTTCACTTTGTCTTATTTTTTTTATTTAATATTATTTCAGTTGCCATCGTCATCGCGTGAGTGTCATGATTGCGAAGGATTGATAAAGCAGCAACACGTTAAACTTTAGAACGGGAACCATCTGAATCATCTAGTCCATCCTTGTAGCAATCTAAAGTGAGTAATGTATTGAACCTAGAACAACAAAGCTTAGATCATACATCATACAATATACTGCTGCCTAATTTTGTAAGAGCACCACTCACACAAAATCAATGTTTTTTCCTGGTTGTAACAATTCCAATCAACTCACTGTTCCATCAGCATTGCGGGTATGTATTTTTGTGAATACAATTACTATGTACCTCCAGAATGTAGAATCAGTAACTACCATTTAAATAGTAACTCTTGGTATTTACTTTTAGAATTAATATATAACCATATTAAAACATTTAGTGTAGCACAAATTATAGATTTTTCTACATTATTGTAAGATAATATTTACCATCATATAGACTTTGAAAATATTTACAATATGCCCGAATATACTGTACATTATTAGCTACGCTTATCAAAGGCACAATGCCAATAAATTCTGTCTGAAGTGCCCAAAATGTCAAGTAAACATAGTGGATGCTTTGCACTTGCTGTATATTTGATGAAAGTAAGAACAGGAGATAGTGATGAATGCATATAGGCATTATTGCAAGTACCAAGAAACAAATTAGAGCGGCTCATGAATATGGCCCAAGAAATATTAAATCAGGATGTTGTTCCTATGAATTTTATCCATCGTTACCACTCTGTGTGCCAAATTCTATTCAGTAATTATGATATTATATCTGAGGCACATAATTTCTTAGCTTTCCTAGATGTTTTTGTTATCCAAAATCCTAACAACGTCATAGG